TTTTTTTTACAGTCAGTCACTTTTAAAGTGCTTCTAAGACACATTAACTTTTTATGATCTTTTGTGGTGTTATTCTTAGCTTTTTGAATTTGATTTTTAACGGTTTCCATAGTAGTTTTTACACACCATTGGAGCAAGAATTCAAAGTAAATCTTAAATACTAGTGCTTTAAACAAAAACTTTCAGAGACATCTTGTCAGTTCCTAGTCTAGAAAAGAATAATCTATTATGAAGCTTCTCTATTACTACTATAATACTTCCAATTATATCACCTAGTTCTGTTATAATTCGATTTTTCAAAATGCTTTGTTCTGTCAAGAGTGTTAGAAAATATAGAAATGAAGTATTGGCGGACAAGTCGATCTAGCCTCTTTGTTTTCTACCATTTTTCTCAGATTGGTCACTGTTAATGTGCCCTCTTCACAACTTTGTCACTTTATTAACTTTTTAGACCTCCTTGGCGACTGTTTAAAAAAAAAGTGACTAGCAACAAATCTGACAGCTGTATTCTGTTCACTCTCTGGTTACTGGCTTCAGTGAGCAGTAAGTGTTGCTGTGAGGCCCTTACACCTCCAAAGCACTGACAGGACGTCAGTCTAGACAGCCTTGTGCTGCAAATGCTGCCTGCAGAGTGGTTTCTTTTCTAAACCATTTCCCCACTGAAAATGAGACAATGCTGCCATTGATCCCACTCTGGATTACAAACCAAGATGTATAACTTTTAATGCAGTGGATTTTTATCCATCAGAAGTGTGGCACTTAAATAAATGTATAAATGCAAACTGCATTTGACTCACACAAACCCTAATGATGATTTATACAAGCACTGTGAAAAGAGAATTTTTGCTGATATCTCAGAATAGTCCTACCTTGTCTATCATACGCCTGGCCTCTTCTTCTTCTGGGTTTTTGTTCTCCAGCTCGATAGTGTAGGTCCCTTTATCACTATGGTCGTCATCTGCCTCTCCGCCCGCAGTTCCTGCTCCTCTACCGAGAACTGATGTGTCCTCGCTGGGGGTTGTGGGGCTGCCCGTCGCTAGCCCAGTACTAGCCGAGCTCCGACCGATACTTTGGTCTTCTGACCTTTGCTTAAGGAGCACACGGGCAGCAGTCGGAGCGCCAGCAGTCACTGTAGCTGGTATCGGAGCTGGAGCTTTACCTGAAGCATAGAAATAGAGAAATGGTCTGAACTTAACAATCTTTAAGGTGAACTTACTTTCTTAATCTTTCAAAGAGAAGCAGAATTTTTAGAAGTATTCAAAACCAATTTATATTTTTTTGTAGGAACTGGGAATGTCAATGTATTCATTTTATGTGACCTAACAGCAAAGTATAGTTTTAATTCAGGTTTGTTAGGAAGCAATATTATGAAGACCAGTAGAATTATTAAGTTAAGTTTAAAGTAAGGTTTTCAGAGAGCTAAGTTTAACCTATCATCTTAAAAAAGGAGATTATGTAACAACATCCAATCTACCAAGACCTAAACTAGGAGGCTCGGATAATCGACAACTTATCAGAGAAGCAGCCAACAGGCCAGAGGTAACTTTGGAGGAGCTGCAGAGATCCACAGCTCAACTCTTCCTTAAACAATCCACAAGCCTTGCCTTTGTGGAGGGGAGGCAGGAGGAATCAGCTTTTTTCACCAACTTTGGTCACACAAACAAGGTATTTGGCTTTGGTCTTTATAAAGATATTAAGAATAAAAGCATATATAAAAAAAGAAAATCAGATAAATAAACGAATGATTCAGCAACATTTGCAGTTTGGTACTAGCCATGAAAGGGACACAGCAAACACGGAAAAAGATTTAATCCAAACGAAAAACGCAGATCAAAAATATTCCCACAATAAAACACGAAGGTGGCCACTAGATCACTCTGGAGGAGAAAAGCTGGTCAGAGTTGAACTTAATTGCAAAATCATGGAAGAGAAGTTTTTAAAAACCTCCAGAGATCTGAGATTGGAGCAGAGGTTCTATTTCCTGGTGTTAGATTCAACTAAGTGTGTAACAAGATGTGGAATTTGATGTTAACAGATCATTTCTCTCCAGTCTTTGTTTAAGCTGTTTTATAAAGAAGGATGCAGCAAGAGGGTTAGTTTCTACATAAGCTATGTCAGTGGAGACATGTCTCCGAACAGTTTTAGCTAAATTTGCTGCAAAATGTTTTCTAAGAAAGGTTGACTCCTCATGGATGAATATTTATCCCCCAAATCCTGTTGAAAACATCTCTCCATCAGCTCCACATGTATGCATTAACGTGTTGGTTTCACACATAAAATCCCATTAAAACCATTAATGTTTGCTATTATAATGTGATAGGAGTTTCATCCATGTGCTGTTTGACATGCATCTGATGACATTTACCTGAATCTGCAGCTGAGGCGGCAGACGTAGAAATGCTAAACACCTTCGGGTGAGAGGGAGGCTGAGGACACAGTCCTTCCCCGCCTACTCCGCCCCCAAGTAGGGGAGCGGTCTGGGAGAACGAGTAAGACCGCCGCTTGCGAGGGTTTTCCTCATCGTAGAACTCGATCATGAACGCTGTTCGGCTCCCAGCATGTTTGGCCCCACCGACAGTTGTGGTCGCTCCTGCTGCTCCTCCACCCACGAGATTGTGTCCTGTTTTAAGGCGTTCCTCGAGGGCGTGTCTACGGTTGGCGAAACGCAGGCCTAGTCCGTTCTCAGAGTCACTCTGGGTGCCGTCCTCATGTTTGCTCCCTACTGAGACACAAAAGAGACGAGAGGTTTAATTCCACCATCTTATTAATAAAAATGTTTTAAAAATGACAGCAGAAAATTTTTCATCTTTGACAGAAGAGTAGTGGTTGTTTAGATGTTTACTTAATTTCAAGTATCCTGGAAAAAAACAAAATGACCTCACATTAACTAGGGACACTTTTAGAAACCTTCACAGCCCAAGTCAACAATAAACTTGCCCTGTAGGCCGAGGCAAACCCCTCAGCCATCAAGTCAGATCCAACAGCATCTACTTCACCTACCGCATCACTGCAGCCTCTCATGATGATCTGTCTGAGTTTATTCAGCAGGTCGTTTCTGTGTTGTCCAGTTAAAGGCAGCCTGCCACACTAACCCAGACATACCACCCACACAACTACCCGCCTCGGCTAAGTCAGCCAGTGGAGAGAGGGGGAGGGGAAGAGGGAGATGGTTAGAGATGAAGGAGGAGGGGAGGTGAAAGGGATAGCAGAGGAGGAGCTGTGCAGTAAGGGAAGTGGTAAAAGGGCGACCGGATTAAGAAGGAGAAAACACAACAGACCCTGAAGGAGACTCAGACTTTAACTGAAGTCTACTTAGGTTTACTAAAAACCAGTGCTGCAGGTTGAATACTCAACACTCAGGGTAAAGGAGACGAATAGGGCTGGACCAACTTTCTACTTTACAAATGATTAACAATCTATACTTTGTTCCAAATTACTAAAGATGACTGCTTTCTGTTTAAAAAAAAAGTTAAATTAACCACTGATACAATCTATCAATAAAAACTAGAGTGAAATGAATAAGTACTAAAATTATTTTAGTAAAATCGTTAAAAGTTAGTGTTAAGGTTTTTTTTGCATTGCGATGAATTGGGTTGGAAAATCTTCCACACACTGCCTTCAAATCCGTCGATCTGTCAAACATTTTTTACTTTTTAGCATAAACATTTGATCCTCGCACATCAATTTATAATATTACAGAACTATAAATGTCTTTGTATGAAATATTTGTGAAGATATTCAAGTCTTCTACATCAATGTCCTAATATATCTGACCAGTTACAAATATTCTCATTGTTCTGAATGACACAAAGTGCAAAGCCAGCAGCGGGAACACCTTTAATCTGAGGAAGCGCAAGACTTTTCTTCAGGCTGAAAAGTGCACAATTTCAGATCTACCACTAAAACTCCTGCATTTAGCACTGTTAGGACACCTGCATCTGTTAGCGACTCGTCTGCAGCCAGCAACATGGGTGAGGGAGCTGCATCGTCATCTTCATCTGCTCCATGTAAATAAGCCTAGCATTTAAGATGACATTTAATGAAACTGAGTACCAACACAGATTTCCAGGTGACGGGAATCGTTACTATGTAGGTAGAAAGGAAAACGTAACCCTTCTCTATTCATTGCAATAGTGTAAAATCAAGTAATGCATAATCTTAATAGGAAAGCAAGGAATTTGAACTTGAACAACCTGCTGACACTGTGTGCCCAAAAGAATATCTGTACAATATGGGCAGACTTTCTCTGTCCTTCAAACACACTGCTGATCTGGAATTTAGTGGCTTAGAGGCCACAGTTAAAAAAGCGGGATCCATAATAACCAGTTTCTTACCTGGGAAGCCAGATTGATAATGTGTCGTACTGTCAGTGTAATTCTACGCATCCTCAATCTGTGCCTAAACTCGTTAAATCTTTTCGGAGAAAGGGAGGAATTTCTAAGCTGAGAGGGTGAAGCGACATCTAGGACCATCTATCAAAGTTTGGTTTTAGACAATCATGTTAAGAAATGAAAATATCGTAAACATCTGTTTAACCAAACAGATGTCTCAAAGTTTTCTTGAAATTAAGGCGAGATCATTAAATGGTAAAAACGAGACAAAAAAGAGAGAATAATGCCACACAGATCTTGTACGAGAAAGTTGAGCAGCAAAGCAAACAGAGAGGCAGGTCTTTTATTCAGTGAGCTGTGGACAAAGAAGCTCTTAGGGGGGCAGAAGAGAACAGAGGTTTCTGTGAGAGTCCAGTGCATCGTCCCGGTCGCCCCACCATGACTCACAGTGAAGCTAGCCACTGCCTCTGTCTGCCTGCACACACACACACACACACACACACATAGAACATGCCAAACAAGGATGTGCATCCTTTTACAAACACTAACAGACAAGCATATATGCAACCCCAGGCGTTTAATGTGTTATAGTGGGTCTAAAACTGCAATTATAACAACAAAAGCAGCTGAATTTTGGCCACTGTGAGACTTTTAAGCTTTTCCTATCAAATAAAAATACCTTTATGTAAAGCAATCATAGATAAAGAACCATAAAAATGCTTTTTTAATGGAAGCATGGATTTTCATCCTAATGCGTATCAAGAGTCATAAAAATGAACCTAAAATAATTACTTTTTGGCACAATAGCAAACACAGCAAAAAAACAAACACACTGAATGGAGATAAAATACAATAACTCACCTTTAAGGTAAGAAATCAAAGACTTTGACTCAAATTTCAGTTCCCCTTGGTGAAACCCTGCCGCTCTCTCTGTCAGGCACCACTACGACACACCCTGAGTGCATCTCACATGCCTGCGCTCGGCTCGCACATGCTGCACTGCCTTCCTGCAGATCAGTGCTGAGCATTTTTCTGAATGCATGCGAAAGCAGCATATTTTAACACATTACTTACACAAAGATAAAAGCGTTCATCATTCCAGTTAGTCGGCTAATCCAGCCGCTTCACATTCAGAAAGAGGCGCATAGCTAGAATCGGTTCATCAAATCGCATCACCGTTACTATAACAACTTTCAACAGAATACACCACCTTGTCCCCTCCTTTTTTCTGCCAGTACTGCATACCAGATAAAAACCCTCTCTAGCTCTCTCCCTCCTATTTGCCCCCTTTTCTCCTTTACCTGTGCTGATACTGCAGTTAATACTGTTTTAAATTGCTTTTTTTTAGCTATGTTCCTCCGATTTTCTCCTCTCACCTCACACATGGCACACCAACAGCAAACGAAAGAAGAGAACCTTCCTTCCAGCTTTCCACTTGCACTCTCTCAGTCTCTCCCCATTGTCTCCCTCCTCTCTCCTTTGCTCCGTCTCCCCTTTCTCCCCCATGCTGCACTTGCATCCTATTCTCAGCTTCCTTTAACATAACCAGCCAGGAGTGAAGACATCGGTCAGTTAATCAGTTAAAACAATACCATCTATCAGCCAAGTGACATACCTGTTAGTGATCCTCATTCCATCTACTAAATTAGCTTTCCTGCTACCTTAGAAATGTCATTTTCATCAGCTATATAGAAAGTAGGCTGGAGAAAACCCTGTCTTCAATGACACCTACAAGGTTTAAAAAGGGCATGAGCCTGGCCTTCTTTGTATGAGAGATCAGCCGTTCTGGTTTGTATCAGTCTTAGGCCAGAAGGGGCTGCTAGCTGGTATAATGTTTAAAGCCAGCGTTTAAATGCTTTAAGTTTTTTCCTAATCAAAGTGTGGAGCAGGAACAGTTGGTGATAACTATTGTTAAACAATACAGGTTAACAATAATGTGTTTTTTTTGTTTTTCTGGGTTTAAATGCTAAGCTAACAGGAGGACTCTGTTCCACGGCAAACTTTAAGCTGCTATATGATCTTTGCACCTTTCAACACAATTTTACGCAAGTTCTATTTATATCCCAGATCCACATTTTCCCGGTTAAAATGTCCTGGTCTGGGGATTTCAGATTACCCTAGGATTGCTTAGGGGCAGGGTTGAGTGCTGAGCATTGATGATTGGTGATAATACAGCAGAATTTGGGAAAAATTGAGAAAACATAATAAACCACAATAAACTTCTACAATGTTTTAAGGCAATAATTCAACTGTCTAAAACTCGAATATCTGATTAATACTAAAGTTCTATGTTCTGTTTCTTTCTCTTGAAACATATTTTTTGTTATTATGAGAATTTGAGTTGGACTATAATTGGACAGTGCATGACCTGAGTACATCGATGTTCCGATTTTTTTTTATACACTACCATTCAAAAGTTTGGGGTCACATTGAAATGTCCTTATTTTTGAAAGAAAAGCACAGTACTTTTCAATGAAGATAACTTTAAACTAGTCTTAACTTTAAAGAAATACACTCTATACATTGCTAATGTGGTAAATGACTATTCTAGCTGCAAATGTCTGGTTTTTGGCGCAATATCTACATAGGTGTATAGAGGCTCATTTCCAGCAACTATCACTCCAGTGTTTTAATGGTACAATGTGTTTGCTCATTGGCTCAGAAGGCTAATTGATGATTAGAAAACTTTTGTGCAATCATGTTCACACATCTGAAAGCAGTTTAGCTCGTTACAGAAGCTACAAAACTGACCTTCTTTTGGGCAGATTGAGTTTCTGGAGCATCACATTTGTGGGGTCAATTAAACGCTCAAAATGGCCAGAAAAAGAGAACTTTCATCTAAAACTCGACAGTCTATTCTTGTTCTTAGAAATCAAGGCTATTCCATGTGAGAAATTGCTAAGAAATTGAAGATTTCCTACAACGGTGTGTACTACTCCCTTCAGAGGACAGCACAAACAGGCTCTAACCAGAGTGGAAAAAGAATTGGGAGGCCGCGTTGCACAACTGAGCAAGAAGATAAGTACATTAGAGTCTCTAGTTTGAGAAACAGACGCCTCACAGGTCTCCAACTGGCATCTTCATTAAATAGTACCCGCAAAACACCAGTGTCAACATCTACAGTGAAGAGGCGGCTGCGGGATTCTGGGCTTCAAGGGCAGAGTGGCAAAGAAAAAGCCATATCTGAGACTGGCCAATAAAAGAAAAAGATTAAGATGGGCAAAAGAACACAGACATTGGACAGAGGAAGACTGGAAAAAAGTGTTGTGGACGGATGAATCCAAGTTTGAAGTGTTTGGATCACAAAGAAGAACGTTTGTGAGATGCAGAACAAATGAAAAGATGCTGGAAGACTCCCTGACGCCATCTGTTAAGCATGGTGGAGGTAATGTGATGGTCTGGGGTTGCTTTGGTGCTGGTAAGGTAGGAGATTTGTACACGGTAAAAGGGATTCTGAATAAGGAAGGCTATCACTCCATTTTGCAACGCCCATGCCATACCCAGTCGACAGCACTTGAATGGAGCCAATTTCATCCTACAACAGGACAATGACCCTAAACACACCTCCAAATTGTGCAAGAACTATTTAGAGCAGAAGCAGGCAGCTGGTACTCTACTGGTAATGGAGTGGCCAGCACAGTCATCAGATCTGAACCCCATTGAGCTGTTGTGGGAGCAGCTTGACCGTATGGTACGCAAGAAGTGCCCATCCAACCAATCCAACTTGTGGGATTTGCTTCTGGAAGCGTGGGGTGCAATTTCTCCAGATTACCTCAACAAATTAACAGCTAGAATGCCAAAGGTCTGTAATGCTGTAATTGCTGCAAATGGAGTATTGTTGATGTAAAAAAAAAAATCTTATTTCAAATACAAATCATTATTTCTAACCTTGTCAATATCTTGACTCTATTTTCTATTCATTTCTCAACGTATGGTGGTGAATATGTTTGACTTTTCAGGAAAACAAAAAATTGTTTGGGTGACCCCAAACTTTTGAACGGTAGTGTATATTCTGCCAGATATATGTTGGCCATCAGTTTTTCAAAGCCCCCAATATTGATATCAGCCTTCAAAATCCCATATCGGTCAGGTTCTGTTCTGGTTGATTTAAAAATAATATCTGCAGAGTTTAAAAGAGGATACATAAAGCACAGAAAATAATTTGGATTTCCCTAACCTGGGAAAAAAAAAACAATTGCAGGTATTCTAATCCTTCGAAATTCATTGCATTTACTATGCAAATGTTGACTTCAGGGGACATTCTTGTGTTTTTTTCTGTCTGGGAACACTGATATTTTGACTTCCAAGCACAAAAAAAGCAACACAATTGTTTCTTAACAATTGGAGACTACATACTGAATAACACATCCCACATCCAGGGATTTATTGAAGTGTTCAAAAACTGCAGTGTGTCAATTCCCTTAAATCTTATTCAAATTGAAAAGACTAGGATTAAAATACCAGCAGTTGATCCCAGATTGTAGGCATTCTAATAAGATACTGAAAATAAAATAATTTTAATTGTAATATTACACCAGCATCAACATAAAGCTGACACACTGAAAATAAGAAACTGCAGTCGAGAAATATTCTATAAAAAAAATTTTGCAGAGGTGTGGGAACCATGATAGGACAACAAGGAAAGCTGACTTGGTGTTATGGAGATTTTACGGATTCCATCAGGGAAATTAAGGATATATACAACATGCCTTTGTTCAGTGATGCAAATAAAAAATGTAATAACACAGCTGTATGAAAGCTTTAATTTAGGAAAGTAATGTAAGAAAATGACACAGAAAGCTTTAAAAAGACCTTATTTATATCAAATAATAACGACCGTAAGCTTGTTGAGGAAGGAAATTATAAAATAAGCCTTAGTCTTAAAAAATGCAATGAAACAAGTACCTCCAAAACCAGATCAAGATTATACAAAACATGAATCAGTGCAGCTAAAGAGTAAAAAAATATTCTATAGTTCATCCTGTAATAAGCAGACAGATTTGTCACAAAATACTGGGTTCAACAGATTAGCGTAAAATAATGAAGCACTTAGGACACCGGACTAGGGTCAGCACCCATAGACTGAAATGCAAAAAAGGTATTTTGTCTAAAAGCTTCAAACCCCAGCCTTGAATCATGCACTCGGATCAAACAAAGTTCTAGGTTGCATTAATCCAAACAGTGGGTAATGGAAATAACGCACTCACAGTCCACACACTGCTGCCAAAGAATAAACCTGAAATCCTTTGAGTTCGCCAATGTGGCACAAACATTTGTCACAAAAACCAGCAGCAAGAACTTACTCATTAGACAATTGTTTGCAAGAAATAAACAAAATCAAACATGTTCTTAGAAAAAAAACATTACAATTTGAGTTCATCTTATCTGAATTATAAAATGGGAATATTGCATCACTAGCTATTGAGATGGATTACCCATAATGGACAAAACACAAAAACTAACATAAGGTCACTTCAAAAGTGATTTTTGTAAGGCTTTATAAGAATTGAAGGAATCCATTTAGGCTGTGTGCTCAACCTTGGATAAATCCAAATATTGAAGCAAGGATGTTTCAACTATTTAGCAACATTTAAATAATAAACAGCAGATAGGTCCCAAAGCGTCAATATTAGAGAATAAACAACGTTTTCTTCAAGCAAACAGAAATCAGATGTACAAGAGATGGAGTTTTACCTTTGAGCTTTTTAAGGTGGACCGGGACATCGCTCTTGATGCTCTTGGTGCTCTTGCCGTCATCCTCTGTTGATTCACTGCGCACCAGAGTTGGGTCATTATGAGCCAGCCAATCAGCTACTTTGCTTTCAGAAGCCATCATGGCGGCCTGCAGCGTGGTGAGGTCTTTGCTCCCCACTCCGCTCTTCTTGGTGCGGGATCTCTGGTGGTCCGACGTGAACTTGGACACATGGTCTTTAATGGTGACTTTCCCCGGAGAGGTGCTGTCAAACTCTATGGTGAAGGAGGCGTGACCTTGAGCTGTGGAGCAGATGGTGCACTTTTAGTTTTATGTCCTGTCAACAGTAAAAGTAAGGCTGCCAACTCCAGCACTTTTAAAACGTCGATGTGCAATATAACTATTTTGTTGTTGTGAAGTTTTTTCCTTAAAGCTGTCTTTTCAATAAAATCAAATGAAATACTGTGGTGATGTCACTAATTTATCTTCATTAATACTGCAAATATTTGATTACTATAACTAATATAAGTATAATAATAACTTTTGAATCGTGAATAAAATAAATCTAGATCCTATTTCACCTGCTGCGCTTTGGCCTTGAGAAGTCACATCCTCTGTGTCCTTAGTGGGAATTTCATGGATGCCATTATTTGCCATGTGACCTTCCTTTGTAGGGACCTCAAAGTAACTGGAATCCAGAGCAGGAGATGCATGAAGGCCGTCCTCTTTAGCTCTCTCTCCTCTGCGGGTTTCTTTACTTTCTGAGATTAGAAAAAAAGGAAAATATCGGATTATGACAGACATATATTTAAAACACATAAAGCAGTGTCAAACACAAGCACAGGAACTTATTCTGAAAAGTAATATAACATGAAGGGAGTAGAGGTGGGAAGGTCACGTCAGACTGCATATGGACTGATCAAATCAGGGTTTGTGTCTGTCACTCAAAGCTTTCAGTGTTGGTGAGACTCTACACCTGCTTTGCTTCTTGACAATGGGGGACATTTATTTTCTATTCTGTTCTGTCTAACAAACTGATCCTCTGATGGGTCTAATTATGATTAATGACACATTCAGGAATTAAAGGGGCCATCTGCTTCAGAAAACACCAGAACATATGGCAGTTAACAAATAGAGACAAGAAATTAAAGGCTTTATGTGGAGCTTGATCATTTTCCTGTGGAATTCATTACAAATTATACATGTTTTGATCAAATTACTGGAATTCTAAATGATCAGTGAGAAAAAACAGGATCAATTAAAAAGATATGAACAAAAACAAAACCTTTCTGACTTTTAGTGGTAATTTTGTGGACATCAGCATCAACAAGTGGCGGAAACTTAAACATGACAGACTGTAAAGATATAACTCTTCAATAAAATATGGATTTTTTAAGTTAACTTTTGTTTCCAATTATTATAGATATGGGATGTTCATGATAAAAAATATACTATATTTTGTTAAATAAAGAAGACAACTCAGATTATATGAGAACTGAGAAATGTGCAGGTGAACAAAATGACCAATAATGCTTAAATAGCACAAGCAGTCATAAGGAGGTTAGAAACCCTCAACAATCCTTTATTTCTCTGATCTGTAAAAGAATTATATTTAAGCACCAACACAAACCACAACAATCTGATATTTCGGTTAGATTTTCAGTATCAGTAAGGTGTTCAGAAATCAGGTCAGAAGCTTACAGAGTATAAACTATATTCTCTATGGAGGTGCTATCTATTCAGGATACTGCAGTTCGATCGTTGCTTGGTTTTTTGCTTGACCGGCACCTCATATCCAATTTTGGGACCTTTTGTTAAACTGGTGGAGCAAACTGAACCTCAAATGATTTCAGAAATTAAAAAGAAAGACAAAGCAAACATTATTAGAGTGAGGTTGTTATGCTTTATCCTTTTGAATTTCAACATGGATGCTGGATTTGACAGGCATTATCAAATCTCAGATAATTTCTACTCTAGTGAATTAAAACTGACCTCAATAAATAATGCTACTTATAAATAGAAAATATATAAACACCATTGAATGTCAACATAGTCATTTTATTTATATTACTAAAAAGCTTTTTAAATACAAGCTGTATTTTAAATATTTGTGCACATTAATTAGGTTTTTGATAAAAATCCTTTTGCTAAAATGCCATCAGAACGTTTATAATATCTCCCTCTTCAATGTCCACCACATTGGATCAGTTTATTTGCTACAGGTTCAGAAAGGTCCAAGGTCTAGCAGCAAACCATTTGAAAACAAACGATGCAAAGAGCAGTCTTTTGTCGATATATATTTAGTGACTTTTCAGACCCCTCTAGCACTTCAATTTCAAAAAAGCGCATAGTGCCAAATCGACTTTTTTCTGCTACTGGAGACTTTGGCGACAACATATAAAAGCACTGAACTCTGCTCCCCTGCTTTCCTCTATCTTGTCTGCTGTCATGATTCATGCAGCTATTATTTCATAAAATGGAAAAATGGAGAACAGATAAGCAAATCATGGCTTGTCTTCAGTGAAAAGAAGTACTTTTATATTTACTTTTGTTGTTGCCTTTTTTGAAAACACAGGAAGGATGAAAAAAAATTATTCATTCCTTTCCAGACAGCATTAAAAAGTCAGCTGAGTACAAAACATAGAGAGGAAAACAACAAGAAAATGGTCAAGAAGAGAGGGACAAATTCGTAGAACAAATAATGTATGTCTATTCTATTAACATTTCTGTATCTGTATAATGGGTCTGTTTTATGTGTTGTCTTCTCAATTCAGAGGGCCTGCTGCCTGTCTTTGCCAAGGGCCCCAAACTTCCTACATCTGCCCCTGATTCAGGATTATGATCCTACTAAAATATGTAGATCTTGCTTGAAGTGCCAGACCTCCACCACACTGCTGGATGCAGCGCTGGAAATCCCTGCTGAAAGCTCTCTGCTGCCGCTAGCCTCTGAGGGATTTCCTGCTGCCATTAATAGCAGCTGGAAGTGAATATAACGTTTTTAGGGTTTGTAGTAAAAACTGCCAGTAGCAGAATATAAAATTGAATATTTTTTGTCGGCAGTTTTTTTTTTTTTAGTTAATTTGGGTATTTATATACTGTTTCGCCATAGTTCATTAAAAAAATAATTTAGTGCAGCAACAATGATCAGAGCTTGCTCTCTGTTCCTTGTAGCCTACATAACAATTCAATCTTCCGGATTTTTTTTTAAACCTTTGGAGTTTAACCCCTTGGTATTTATTTACCTTTCACATGCAAACAGCTCTGCAGAAACAATAACAGCATGTCATTGTCTTGGCGCTGATGACCGGCTTAATTGTTGATTTCATTCACATGTCCAATTCTGCCCGGTTTTCTCATCACTGTTCATCTGAAATCAACTGTTCCTGCTTCTATTTAAGCTCCTTCCTTGCGGTCGTCAGTGACAGATTATTCTCAGGCCCTTGGTGAGAGTTTTTCTAGCATTAATTCTTGTGTTGCCTGATCCTGACCTGTATCTGTCTTAAGACCTCTGAGACTGCCTGCCCTGGTTCTCATCTGTTTGCCTGACCTGTCTTCGGATTCTGTTAGATTCCACTGTGGACTGAACCTGGATCTGCCTCTTGACTTTGCCCTCTGGGTTATCCTGCCTTCCTTCGTCATCTGCTCGGATCTGATCTCTTGTCAGTTCTGTGTCCTTCAAGGCTTCGGCGTCTGGAACTCTCTTTTGCGGCACGCACTGCATCTTGTCATCTGACCGGCTGGTATCAACCTCATTCTCTGGGCACGGACTGAACTCTAAACCAGGTTAGTGACTCACACGTTCAGATCATCCTCTACCAGCTTTTCTTCGTAAATAACTTGTGTTTCCTTTCGCTAGAGTTACCTGCCTCGGACGCCCTGGCCGCTGCAGATCCGCACACATCGTTGCTTAAATAAACAATTTATTATATTTTAAGTTATCCCACTGTCTGTCTTGCCTGAATACTGGGTCCTTCTGTTCTGAGTCATTACTCGGCATGTAGTGTCTATCTCCCCCAAAATAAGCTTTTTCCCCACACTCGAACGTGCCGTTGATCTACTGACACTTTGCCCCATAGTCTTGCATGTAAATCAGATGCTTTGATGCAGAACAAGCAACCAGTCTGAATGCAGCTTAGGGAGCTCTGAACAGAAGCACACCAGAGTGTGATTCCTTTTAAATGTAAACTGTAGAATATACAGAAATGATTTGATTGTATTTTGTCCCCTGTGGTATGTTTTGAGAGGTTCTCACAGTTAAAACTGCAATATCAGTAAAGGCTGTCAGCTTTTCAGAACCTCTTTAAAAAAGAAGGCAAAAACAAGTACCTGTGTGCTGACTTTTATTTTAGTCGAGTGATGTGAAAACTTCCCAAGCATTGTTTCAGGGCCCAGTCATGAAGGAACACACTCCATATTGGACTCTTTTAATACCTCCCTCCAGAATGTCAAACATGTAAGGGTCCCATATATACCGTTTTTATTTTATATTCTCCTAGCAATGCTTTTCTAGGATTAATAGCAAACATTTTGAAAGTAACCGTGATTATAAGTACTTTGCATGGTGTGAGTGGAAGTCATCTTAATATCTTAATTTAAATTTGCCTTCATTTTAAAATGTTAATTTGCTACTTACAAAAATAAATCTTAATCAACAAAACATTTTTTGACAAAACAGTTAAAAATCAAAAAGGTCCCATTTGTCTGGTTGGTGCATCACCAAATGATCTCATAACTGATAAAAAAATTTTTTTTACCAATTAGGATTTTTAGACACAATTAAGCCAATTTAGATGAGTAAGCAGATATATTTCTATCTACTCTCTCCACTTAGACCTTTGAGGAACACAAAACAAGGGTTTAAATTTTAAACACAATTAGTTCCTTCTTTGAAATTAGAATAAAGATCGATCTTTTTACATTAAATGCAAGGAGTGTCCTCGTGTTCGAGCACCACCATTACCACTAATCCTTTCTTGGATTCACCTCCAATAATGAATAGGGAGTAGATAAAATGAAAACTTTATCAGAATTTTCCTATTATATCAATGCCAGAAAAAAAAACATTACCTTCCACGAATATGAGTTTTATGCAGTCTACTTCTGTTATTTTCAGCAACATACCAGAAGTATTGTAACAATGCTAAATAAATAAAAAATGCTATCTGGGTTAATCTCATTGTAAATGCCAAATATCTTCCAACAGTATAATAACCAGCAGTACTTTATGTCAGAGTCACACTGGAAAAACGGAAAGCATTTTAACAGCTGGATGGATTTGAGAGTAAGCTTACCAGAGGATTAGCCGATGATTTCTGCGGGGTAAAGAGCAGTCTGTGTAGAAGGCGTTTGGGTGTGTGTTAGGAGAGGAAAATAGAGCTGGTGCTATGGTGTAACCCAATCCAGTTTATGGACAATACATAAGGGGATAGGGAGTGGTGACAAGAGAACCTTTTTTTCAACTCAGAAAGAGAAACACACAGTAAACATAACTGACGTAGACATGCTAGAAACAAAACGCACACTGAGAGAGAATCATTTCCTGTCCGAAACCTGCCTCACTTCCCCTTCCCTCCTACATCTGATGTGAAAAGTTTAGGTTATTTTTGAATCATTTATGTTAGATAAGATCTCCTTTTTAACACTTAAGTTTGAGCCAAATAAACTCCAGCTCTTCATACAGAACCAATCCAACATCGCATCATAAACACAGATGGTATTTTTCTTAACAAATCTCCACTCACCCACTTCCACGACTGAAGTAGCCAGACCCATAACCGAGAATATTTGGGAAGTTTTCAAGGTTTCAAATCATTTCTATGTTCGAACACAGATTAACCTCCAAACAGACATGAAAAACCGTGAAAATCAACAAATAAGGCCCCAACTAGCTGTAAACAAAGTCGTCTCTTTCAGCGCAGTCAAGAAGATGGCAGACTCACCCTGCAGATGTGCAGAGATTTGAGGACTCTTCAGTCTGCTCTCGTGTTTTTGTTATGATTTCATCCCCCCCCCCCACTCCTTCTGACCACACTGGTCCACTAACCCTGCCTGGCACAGACTGATTTTGCTTCAGCTGGTGTAGCCTGCATGTATGTTGACGTGTAGAAATGCTCTGAACAAAAGCTTTGTTTTCCCTTGGATGCAAATACTAAAAAGTAAGCAAAGTCTGGCTGGTCATGGCTGTCTGACCACAGTAATGGAAATCTATCTGATCTCAACACGAAGAAGCAATCATTTCATTCATTTAAAGTTATTCAAATAATTACTTTTATTTTTTAGCAAATTGTGTTGTTTTGTAGTTGTTTTCAACCTACATCAGACAGAGAAACACTCGTAAAACTCGATAAACACTTTAGATCAATCATTTTTAGTGTTACTTGTAAGCCAATTCAGAATAGGCTCAGCTGTCACTTACATATGGCATCAGCATGTGGGACGGTTTAGTTCATGGAAGTGAAACACATCTGAAAACATCTTTTCCTCATTTCAATATTCTTGATTTTATTTTTGATTACAAAACATGAGAAGGTTAGGTTGTGATATGATTAGCTTCCTATCCAGCAGTGTGTAATTAGTGCTGGTTTATTTATATTGTGATATTTTTATTCTGTATTTAAAATAATGAATGAAAAACTCAGCGTTTTTCACCCTTTGAGGGTCGTTAATAGAAACTAATAGACTGTATTGGCTGCTGGGGAACCTGGTAAGACTCAGGTCTTTATGTTGCAATAGCCATGTAGGAGCAGCATGTTTGGGCTAATCTAAAAGAACTCTTGTCAGGATAAATAACTGTCACTTTGGACAAACGGGAAGAAGAGACTGCAGTATCTGTAAGATCATCAGTGAGTGATTTAAGAGGGACACAGTCGCAAGACAATACAGTAATATATCTTATTGCAGATGTCATTGATTTTAATGTGTGATAAAATGTTATTTTAGAGGACTGGTTGAAAGACTGCATTTTCATATTACTATTTCTAAAACACTTGACATCTTAAAATCCATATGTAAAATATTTGAAAAGAAAGATCCTTTAAAATAATCTGATCATCTTAAATCGCATAAATTTGAAGAACGATCTACCTGACATGGAGCCGTCATGTTTTTTGGATGAGGACGACTTTGTTTCCTGTTTGAAGGAATTCTCATCATCTGCGTCTCCGTCCCCCCACCACGAGGGCTGGCCGTACAGCGGCGTCCCACGGGGCATAGCTGTAATGTCCCCTGGGATGAAGACACAAACATATCAGCAAAACTTTGCAGATGGTGTGAAATTAAAAGATGTTTTTTTATAGACATTTTTCAAACTATGCTACCATAAAATCAACCAGACTAATGTTTTTATGAATAAAAACCCTCCTTCCCCCATCCTCTGTAAATAAGTGTAAATAAGAGCAGGACATTAGACTAGTGACTTTTCCTTCAGATTGTAAGCTGAGATGGGACAATAACACATGCAAGCACCCACATGACAGCACACAGTGCCACAGGTCGAATCAGTACCCCTTACTTTCTTTCTTTAGTCTTCAGTTATTTTAAGTACCCTGTTATCTCCAGTCGGTGTGACTTAAATCACAGTTGTAAACCTAATAACAGACCTTGCTTTATAAATTACACATAATGAGGACCACTCTGTGTGAAAGCTACAGAATGTGTATCATATGGAGCTATATATGTGTGGCTTCCAGTGAAATTACACATTTGCCTGGCAGGCAGGGAAATACATAGAAATGTGTAATACTATATGTTTACGTCTTAAGAGAGGCAGAGATGAGGTATGGCTTTACTTGATGACATTTGTCTGATTAATCTGTAATAAAACCCGACAAGCTGCCACCATTTGTAAATGAATACAAATCTGAGGTCAGAGAGTCTGACTGCATGTTGTAGAGGGGGCAGGTCCACCCCCTGCTGGTCTAACATGAAAATCATTTTTATTGTGTCCCCAACCCCAAGTTGAATGAACCTAAATAAACTCATTCCTACTTCCTTCTGTAGCTCACCTCCTATCCTCTCCTCTGCTTTGTGAGAGTCCACAGGTTTAGCTGAGTGTTCCCTGGAGGAGGCGAGCCCATCTGTTGCTCTGCTCCCCGCAGACTTCGAGTTGCTGCTGCTAGGTGACTTTGGCGTTTTTATTGCAGTCTTTGAAGGAGAATTGCTTGTGGTTGTGTTGGCAGTGGTTTCACCGTTGGAAGGCTTCTTGCTGAGCTGGAGGCCGCTGGTGAACTTTTCATGCTGAATGGAAAATAAATGTCAGTAAATGTGATCTATGAAAATAATTAAAGGGGGAATGTTTGGGGTTCTTACTTTTAGAGCCTCTTCAGGCACGGTGAGCTCTCCTCTCACCACAGTGAACAGATTGGTATGTAAGACAAGATGTTAAGGAAACACTGGCCGAGCCAACATAGCCATGAGATTATTGTTATTTAGATGAACAGATTTCATTAAATATTATTCTGAGTGGTAAAAGAATACAAATTCTGCAGTTGCACAAAGGAAAACATCTTTCATAGCTTTATTTATTTAAATCATTCAGTTCAAACTGTGGAAATAATACACTATAAAGATTTACCAAACTCAGTTTTAAACCCAAACAAAGGATATCATATCCAAACCTCAGCTTGTCCTCCAACTTTAGAGTGATATACATCTGCTCCTGAATGCGGACATCGTTTACGAAGGTCTGGAGAGGAACAAAACAAAACAAAAAAGAGCAATGAATATAAGATTTGTGGACATAAACGGAAACTTTGCGCTACTTTATTAATAATAATGATTAATTCATTTAGACCGTCCTAAAATACTGAAAAATATTATTTCATCTTAAACGAGTTTTTTTTTAAAGGTGAAATGATAGGAGGAAACTTGAGTTGAAAGACTTGGCTCATTTTTTTCTCTTTTAACCTCTTTGTTCTACAGTAGGCTGGAAGTTCATGTATTCAACAAATAAAACTTGCTTTTAATAATATCTATTTATTCCTCTAGTGAAATAGAGTCACAGCTTAAGAATCTAGCAGTGAATGGGTTTCAGAAGGCCAGCGATTGGTTTTACTGGCTAACCCGTGTGTGGCAAACCTCAGCACACCCACTGACTCAGCAGGGAAAACTTCCTGTGGATGAAGCCAAAAGAGCTGGATGGCTAACAACACAGGAGGAAGTGACTCTGGCTTCCTGTCTGAGAGCTGGGGAGGATGTGAGGGACACGGAGCACATGTGGCTCATCTAGTGGGCTCTAACTGAGCACTAATCACAACTCATGACTAACGGCGATGAGTATGTTTAAAAGGGCGGCTGTAACCAACTTTGACCTAACTTTACTGTGCAGAAAGAAGCCCTTAAGATTTTAAATAAACGTATTCAAGGTATATTTAGAAGTCCTGATTAAGATGTGAAAAATGAAAATGTTCTAAAATAAAATTTCTATTTTAGAGCAGCATAATCACACCCTGAAACATAATTGGAAAGTTTCATTGGTGGAAAATAAATGTGGCATCAAATCAGCTTCTATCAAAGGAAGTTTACCCCAAACGTTTTTATTTATACACTGAATGGAGTGTCCAGTACATTGTAATAATTAATCCCAGAGTTCCTCATTCGCTGAGTTATGATGGCAGTTTCTATTTCTCTTTCTTTTCAAACTGGGAAATACAACAAAAAAAATGTCAGTCAAGTATGTATGTTGACCCTGGTGTTAATAAAATGGAAACCGAAGATAGCTGGTTCTCTAAACTGGACCATAACTTCAACAATACTGTTAAAAAGGAGTGGAAAATCTAAAAGGATGAACCAGATTCAGATTACATTTTAGGCTTTGAGACGTTTACAACCTTCTTTTCTAACAATTTCTTCTTTTGAGACTCTTGAAAGTCAAAAATCTCTTCAAAGGTTTTCCTGTTTAAAGCGAAAGTGTGCTTTAATTGGTCAGCTGAGATGGGATCCTCTGCTCACGAGGCACCTTATTTTGCAAAAGTATTACAATTACATCTTTATCTAAATGATTAAACTTACTATGTACTCTGTTTAGCTTACTGTTGCTTCTCTTGATGAAAGTGGTTCTATAACAGCTGTATGTATTGCAAATTTGTTATCTGTCTTTATTTTTATAAAAATCTTTTTTTATGACACTGACTAACAATCTTTGGCAGATGTTTCTAGAGACAAGGCTTCTGCAATAACCAAAAACTGAATGGGAAAAGCACATAGAAAAAAGGAAGGACAATAAACATGGTTAAAATATACTAAAGATGAAAAGAAGAGTGAATAAAGCATGCAAAAAAGGCAGACATAACTCAGGCAAGAATGAATATAACAAGAAAGGTATTAAGAAAGGGGAAAAAAGACAGCAGTAAGGGTAGATGTAAGCACACAAGCAGGGAATTGTGATAGGGCAAAAGCGAAAAAGAGAGGTAGAGAAAGGAATAAAAGACAAGGACAGAGAGAGGTCAGGAACCATAAAAAAATGAAGGACACGATGGAAGAAAGAAGAAAGGAGAAACACAAATACGATATAACTGAAAGACAGGACAAGGAAGGAAGGATGAAAAACGAAAGGATACAAGGAAGGATGGATGAAAAGCGAAAGGATACAAGGAAGGAAGGATGAAAAGCGAAAGGATACAAGGAAGGAAGGATGAAAAAATAAAGGATACAAGAAAGGAAGGATGAAAAGCAAAAGGATACAAGGAAGGAAGCATGAAAAACAAAAGGATACAAGGAAGGAAGCATGAAAAACAAAAGGATACAAGGAAGGAAGCATGAAAAACAAAAGGACAGACAGACAGACAGACAGACAGACAGACAGACAGAAAGATAGATAGATATAGGTTGTCACTCACCCCATTCAGGCTTCCCAAGTCCTTCACCTTGTGTTCATCTGTCCCCGTCTCATAGTTGATGACTGCATGCTGCTTGTCGACGCTACGAGACTTTAAACCAGAAAATAAACAGACATGGGAAATGATCAGCCCCATGTCCACAGTCAGGAACGCTAATATGACCATGGATATATCTGAAGATTTTTTTTTTTTTTTACGTAAAACATCCAATGAACTCTAAAATTGTGGCACCAATAGATAAAAATCCAATGACACAGTTGTTCTTCCAGAAAAAATATGCTTGCCGTAACGTTGGTTTTGGAATCTAACCTTAAAGTTATTCTATCATCATCACCTTCACGTTTGGTCACATTTTTTCCATCATATCATTCACTAAACTTCCAATGAAAATAGCTGAGCTCAAAACTGAAGGTGAAAATAGATTTTCACACAGCTGACAGACGCCTGCCTACAACACTGTGGCCTTCTGTATTTATGAGCCTCTGGTAAAAGAATCTATTGGAGTTCAGCAGACATGTGTCTCATGTATCAAAGCATCTGAAATAAAAATAAAAAATTCTTACAAGTCTGCATGGAGTTATGTCAACATTTTACTTGAAGGTGAGTCAAAGTCAATTCTGGGTACTGATTCTGATTCTTTATTTCACATTTTTCTGTTTCCCTCAACTAAATTCCTTCCCCAGTCAAGTAAAAAGTAAATCATAATAATACAGTTGAAGCAAAGGAAGCAGCTCTAAGAAAAAAACCACTGAAATAGATAACTTTAGATCAACCGTAACACAAGCCAGGCCCAGCAGCCTGTTTTATCTCATATTGCTGACAGAAAAAATGTAGAGGACACATGTGGAGATGGGAAAAAAATCAACCAAAGACAGAAAATGCTTTGAAGCATACTCCCAGATAAACAAAAATGAAAGCAAACTTAGACTGAAATATACATATTTTTGACAAGCTAGACTATAAAAGAAAGAATAATTTAGGCACCTCGGGTTAACAGGCAGCTATGGACACAATTTGGAGACAGGAACAGAGCAGCAATAAGCAGATACAGGGTCTGATTTAAAAGCACTTTAGCTTTATGTTGAAGTAACTACTTTTTTGTACCCGATTTCAATTAGTTTTAAGTAGTTTTTAGAGTTTACTAGTTTTTATTAGTAACTATAATTTCACTAAGGCTTTGTTTTAGTTTAGCTTTTGTTTCCTATAGACTGTTAATCTTTGAGTGCAATAGTTCAAAAGGTCAGAGCTGTGTAATAAAGCCCCAATTTAAGGAGCTATTCCTAAAATGTGGTTCAATTATACCCCACGTAAACCAAGTCATGAAAATCGGTTTGCCAGGCGTATCGAAATAGAAGGGAATATATTTAGAATCTTTGTTTAAATTAAAATAAAGTTGAAAAAAATATCTTCATTTCACTTTTTGTTTTTGATGAGTTTTAGTCAACATTAATTACCCCATAAGCAAGCAGCTAGCACATGGAGAATGGGCTCCGTCTAGCCAACCCAAGGAGGATTTAGCTCATGCTGGATTGGGACAAACTGGGCCTGGTCCTTCATTCAGCCCCTCCTCTGGTACCCTCTAGATTATGACCCGGATTGGTAAGCCAGACGGTCTCATCTGGGTCTTAAATGGGAGATAATTTGTTTGAATTCAACAAAACATCTAGAACCCATATGGATTTTTTCCTAGGATGGTGAAGAAGATGTGACCATTATGTAACCCACAGATGCTCCCATTAGGAACCCATTATTCAGGCCATTCCTTAACCATATGGGCTCCATCTGTCAACATCAACTGGGCAAAGGACATCCAAAGAAAGAAACCTTTTCATTGGCCGTGGTTGTGTTGTTCAATGATGGTTTAATAATTGTGTGTTCCACTTTCAAATTTAGAGAAGTAGGTACCCTACAGGGTCTCAATGTTGTCCAATGTCTCAAGGAAGCTCCTTACATCTTAAGACCTTCAGTCACTGTTCTGACAGGCTGTCAAGTGGTCAAAGAGCTGCCTGACAATGGCTGTACACCCAGTGATGCCGTCAGCTGCTTATGCCAATGTTATTCTCTTATATATTGTGATATTGTGTTTGTCGGTGGGTGTGTTTGTGTTTTATTTGGTGCACACAGGAGCCTTTTTATGTTTAGCCATGTGATAAAGCCCCGGCTTACTGAAAGGATCACATGGGTAAGAACTGGGAGCTGCTTTAAAAACACACAAAAGGCTAAATTAATGTTTTATATTATAAAATCCCATTGAGTGATAAGTAAACCAGGCTGAAACATACCAGAGAAAAAAATTCATAAACAAGAAAAGGAATGAAAAAAAGTTTAAATCATCCCAGGAAGAGATAAATAAAAACATGAACTACACTTCGAACCACAACTAAAGAAGTAGAAACAAAAACAGGATAATTCTTAAATCTTAGGCGTATGAAATTAAATGTTTTGCGGATAATCAGGCGTTTTATACAGACAGTGGGACCAGTGAAAACTCCTGTGCAATAATAATGTCCCTGCAGTTGTAAACACTCTATCCTGAACGAATGACTCAGTCAGATAGGATCTAACTCAAGAGGTATCTGCCCCACTTTCTATTATTAGTGCAATGACCAGAGGTACACATGAGTATGCACGTGGTCTCTGTGGATGTATGCACATAACTCACACAGATACACATGAAGAAGCAGACTACTTCAACAAAAGCACAGGCCAGAACTGTTGAAGTCACTAATCGACTTAAGTTGTAGAAAAGATATGCCTGTTTTCTGTGTAAGGAAAGCAGGACGGCTAAAGTAAAAAAAAAAAAAAAAAATCACATTAACAAAAGTGCTGGTGCTTTACGTCTCATGAAGCATTCTCACCTGCAGCATGAGCTCGCAGTCATCCCTTCCCACGAAGATCATTTCCCGGGGGAGTCGATGACGAGTTCCCCCACTGCTCACCAGGAACCAGGAGGTCACGCTCATGTCTGCACCCTGCCGCTTCCTCTTGTGCAAACCTCTTGAGACAAATTTATAAATGATGAAATGGAGAATTTCAATCTTCTCCTCTGCTTTCAAACTTCTAAATCTTCACAACAACCTTACAATTTCAATACATGTATATTAAACAGACTGCAAATTTTTGTTTTTGGACTTATGAGGAAGAACTGAGTTTAATATAGAAAAGTCAAGAAATGAGGGGGAAAAATCCAACATATAACAATATCACTAAAGTTGATCATGTCTAATATAGATAAAAACTAGTAGTTTGGATGGTATTGTTACTTTTCCTCTTATTTCATATTATTATCTTAATAAGAAAATAAATAATTACTGGACAAAATAGCAAAATACAAGAACAGAAAAGAATACTGTATGATCAACTTAATAAAAAAAAAAATTTCACGGCATTTAAAAAAATTCTATAGACAAATGTAGAATATACACTGAAAGCTTTCACTTAATAATAATATAACATACTTAATAATAAAATAGGCAACATTTAAAATAACGGCTGTAAATAAGAAAGCGTATCCAGCTGACTGGCACTGTGCAGAAACCGGTTAGGGAAGGTCAGAGTTGTAAACACAGCCAGGTCAGGTCAACATTCTGTATTACATCTCAATTGTATACATAAAATTCCCGTTACTTATATTGACTATCTCACATATATATAAATATCACACAAATAATGATGATATTTTTCTTAGATATTTTATCTAATAATCTTACTATATTATATGTTGTTATACATTAAACACAATATCTCATAATAACAAATTGTTTTATTAAGACATCATAATTAGTATATAATAAGCTTTTCTAACTATTTGATTAATATATTAAATTATGTACAATATAAATAACATATAATTATAATGTCCTAAAATATATTTCATTTTACACTTATCAAATTTTTATTATTATTAGATTTATAAGATTCACATAATAAACTTTAGTATACTTTGGTGACCAGGACATTGTTAATTCCCACTAATACTCTGTGCTGTTTAGAAGTACAGTTGTAGTGATCTAGGAAAAATGGTTGTGTGATATTTTAGTAGGTTTAATTCTTATAGCAATATATATATATAGCAAGATTTTTTTTTTAGATGTAAATTGAAGAATATATGTTTTATTTCCATTTTAGTACCAACCTCTGGCCCAGGGGAAAGACCACAGCTGATCACTGACCACTAGCAGGACAACGAAGCTAGGCCATCCTGGAAAAGATGGAGAAAGAAAAGAAAATTTAAAAAGAATGTTCCAAGAGGCCTGAAAATGTTTGCCACCTTTTGCTTCATATAGAAAACAATCCAATCCAAACTATATTAGCTGGTTGCTGGAAGAAGGTTTAGTAGGAGGTGTAATGAAACACTTTCTCTGTACAGTCAGCGTTAGGCAAACCAGTAAGGTAGAGCCTTCCTTTTTTACTGCCCGCTCTGATGAATGCCAGATGTCCAAGGAGGAAGTGATGTAGGAATGTTAGCAGCACGTTTATTTTCCCTCCTCCTCCTCAGACGAGCTGGAAAGGAGGTCAGAGCCAGCCCGGTGTGTGCCTAACTGTTCAGGCCTGAAACGACTCCAGTAAACAGAACAAACTCAGGCCGAAGTGTCATCCACTGTTTACAAACTAACCTGAGGCGCGGCTTAGTGTAAGGGTTGACGTCTGATTGACTAATCGGGCAGAAATTACAGCAGCACTGGCAACCTGTCACAACTGAATTTTCCAACTGTCATGAAAATAGCAAGAAAAATACAAGAGGGTGGTAGAAAACTTCTTGCATTTGATTAAAACTTAATGTTAAACTTTTAAGTGGCTTAGACTAAACCTTTAATTTAAATGAACATTTCAATTCTTTTCATGGTCCTCTCTTGTGACACTAAAATAACAGAAGCTCTCTTTCATGAGTATAAAGTGCCAAGAAAAAGCCCATCAGAGGGAGAATTAAAGATTATTGAGCTAAGCTGTTGCTCTCTTGACCTCCTGAGTACTTAGTATACCAACTCAATAATCCCCAGAGTAAAATTATAATCAGCTACACACCTCAACTCCTTGCATGACAAGGAAAAAAAAAAAGGCGTGCATCAGTAACTGTCTTTAATGGAAAATGGATTTTAGCCCAGTTACTGCTCAGACAGAATATCCAACAAATGTATTCACCACATGAAAATCTGATGAAAACATCCCAGGAATTTTGTGGGAAATTCGATGCCACTCGACAGAAATGAAGAGAGCCACTGCTCTTTCTTTATACCTTTTGCTACTTGTTTAATCTTTGCAACATTTTATTTTTATTGACTAACCATCTGATAGTAAACGTGCTATATACAAGATTTATTTTAGCCACAGAGTTCACAGATGTAAATGCAAAGATGCTCGTTTTTATTTTCATAACTAAATGTATACATTTTTGCTAGGTTTCTTCTTAACTACCAATTTTCTCATGTTTTTGAGACTGTGTACTCCAATTAATGATTAGCTCACTACTAAATTAGCCAATTGATCGTGTTTCCTTAAGAGTAAAAAAAAAAAAAAAAATCCTCACAAACTGCAGTTGTTTTGTAACAATATGAGGCAGATAACAGAAGTGGAAGAGGTTTTTCCTGAAACGACTCATTAGGCTCATCAGCTCTGGCACTACACCACAGCTATGTGTGGTTTCCCTCCCAACTGTGGGCGAAACATCAGAGAGCTTGCTGACTAAATAACTACGCCACACTCGCATGGAGAATGCAAAGTTAACAAGACTGCGGTGGAGGAGCTTCAATATGATGCATGGTGGGCTTTTGGTGGCATACAAACAGCCGCTGACAATCAACACGTGAAAGATGTGGCACACATGGAGAAATACAGAGGTTAGTCTGGTGAAGGAAACAAAGCTGTGCAGAAATCTATTCTGCCTATTATTAGTTTATATGACTTAAAACACCTTAACCTAAAGTCTTTAAGGCAAATAAGAGAAGAAATGTTACTCCAGATTATATATTCATGACCACATATTTTGGTGCACTGATGTCTTAAAACAATAAGTGGAAAAACAGGCCCACAGCGTCACATATCTTTCACCATGCTTGCCAGAAGGATGTCTTTCTTTTCCATAAGTTAATATTTTGATTTACACCAAAACCACCAACAAAAACTGGTCCAACATTGTCCAACTTGAAGTCCTAGCATAGGAGGTCATTAGAGTTTCTTACATTAGACTAGGATCTTGATGCATATCATGTCTGACCAATGCAAAAACATTAAAAAAAAGTCTAGTTGGATCATTACTTAATCGAAGGTGAATAGAACTACACATATAAAATGAAAAAGGTTAAAGAAAATTCTCTTTGACAGCAAGGTGCCTATGACATCAAATATTTTCACATCTTCATCAAAAGCTGCTAAGGGCTCTATAGCTGCATAAAGAGAAGCGTGTATTTAAAAGTCATTCTTATTACTCTGGCCTTTCTAAAAACATTCTTATTGGGGCTGATGAAGAACAAACAATGACCTCATATTATTGGCAGGGATTTCCCAGCACCCAGAGCAGCACTAGTACTATCTCCCCACACTCAAACGCTCACTGATGAGGAATGAAAGAGCGGGATTATTCCAAGATGACTGAATTCTTTGTGCTAAGGAGATAGCAGTGGAGAGACAGGAAGAATGTAAAACACTTCTCACTGAGGACACTCGTCTTTTTATCCACTCCCTGTGAGCAGAAACTCTTCCAAACTCCAGCTAAACATTTATTTAAATAAAAAAACAGGCATTCACTGGAGTTAGGTCGCTCTTCTAAAACTAAATCAGATGTTGCACATTACATAGAGAAGTTTTAAGTAAAACAGAGAAGATTAATCCTTTATCAGTGCTGACTAATCGCTCTTACATCTAATCTGTTGTTTAGTGGAAATTATATAAACACCCTTCTGTTTTTTTCTCTATTTTTCAAATATCTTCCCTCCATTCTGAGTGAGCCAATCACAACCTGAGCTAAAAAACAGGAAGTGATGTCCCTATTTACGGCCATCCAGTAAGCTGTGCGTTTCTGCTGCTGTTTTCCACGTAGCATCTGGCGGGAGTCGGTATCCCAGCATGACGCAACAGCTGGGTAACGGTCACAGCGCTCCTCTGCTGTTTCCTATTAACCATCCGATTGCTGCAGCGCTGCTACAGCCTTAAAACCTGAGTCACGCCACATCACACACCATGATGAGCTGACACACAGATGCTTGGTAAAAGGATGGAGGAGTTAACCAGGGAGACGGACCAGCACAGAGAGAAGAGTCATGCTCTCGTCACACTGATTTCCAATGAGGTCTTATGATGGGAGCCATAGTTCAACCCAGTAAGGGTGAGGTTAGCTGTCTATATGTAAAAAAATCTCTCTTTACTACATCAAGCCCCCGATTTAACGCAAACATTTTTGCTATTGCTATATTAAAACTCAAAAACAAAAACACAAGAATTAAATGGAAACTGCTGATGCTCAAATTGACCATGCTGTTATATCCAATTATCTATTTAACTGGAAATAATCTAAATGCCAAGAGGAAATCATGTCTTGCTTTCCCGGTGGTGTTTCTCTCTATAAATGTTGAATAGTCGACAAACTTGAACAGCAGCCGTAAGGCTTTGCTCTGAGGGTGTTTCAGATTTTACATTTTAAAATCCAACACTTTAACTTTTTCAGTAGCTTTGGGTACAAAAAGTTTACATACTAATTGCGGTGAAATTGCGGTTATTGAATCAAGTGTCCTATAAGGTTAAAGGGCTATTTTACTGTTTTCTTTACTATCTGCAATTCAGGTTTGTTAGCTGTGTTCTGTACTGGGTTCTCTTAAACTATATTTAGTTCTTTAAACCACATGTTGAAAGAGTCTGCAATAAACCAAAACTGGGGCCGTTTACTCTTGTGACCTACAGAATGAGTATTAAACTATTTGGAATGACTGTGACTAAAACCCTTAATCTGATATAAGGCGTCCTTTATTCTAAAGCAGAACAGTTTTTAGAGCAGGGCAAAAATGGCCAAGCTGTAAAAACTGTTTTTTTTAAAGCATTAAGCGAAACATTGTATATAAGAATTAAAAGTAGACGTTTATAACATTTGTTTCAGATTTTTGCTTTTGTTGAATGAAACAAAAAAAAAAACTCTTTGGGTGTTTTTTCACATCTGTTTGGTATAAAAAGTGCTTTTAGTCTGGTCCTTGTCTGTTTTGCTCTTTGTTGTCTGCTCAGATGTTTAGGGGAGACAACAATTTCAGAGTAGAATGAAAAAAATGATTGGCAAGGGACCCTGAAGGAATGACCTTACAGACGGTGAAAGAAAATCTCCAAACCCTAAGGGATACAAAATTCATCCAGGAGAACAAACTAACAGTGGACTGTGGGCAGACAGGCAGACAAAGACTTCTCCCGTCCCCACGGCTCTCCTACAGTTTTACAGACATGAAAGTGAACAGCAACCATTGTTCCTCTTTGAAAGACACAAACAGATAATAGCCAGAGCTTTTCTATTATGTGCACCAGGTACTCACCAGGCTGCATGTCTATTGATTCAACATGCTATAGTTGCTGCTATTGATGCTTCAGTGTCTGATGAAGAAATATCTTATTCATCTATTCATTTTTTTTGTCATTCTTGGTTGATGAAACAATATTACAGAGAATATAGGAAATACACGTAAAGTTTTCAAATGTACCAAAATAAATACTTGGAAACAACAGTTTCAGAGTAAGTAAAATCCTTAACCTTTTCGGAAATTGCATAAAAAGGTGGTATATGTTCTTGGTCTATTGGTTAGCGTGATAGTTTGATTGTATAAACATATAGATTAAAAGTACCTGCCTTACAGTCTTACTAAAAAAATATCCTAGAAAAAAGATAAAAGACACTAACTAGTTAACTAGAAATCCACTGGGTAAGACTGATGTCAAGTTTTTATTTAAGGGCTATGAAACCGACATCCAGCAGTCGACTGCCAGGATGCGTCGTGTATGCCAGAGTGATCACAACCGTCCCAAACCAGTGAGTAGCTGAGCTGGTGATGGAGATGAGGAACATGCTCTAGAGAGAAACAGTTCTATAAACAGGATTTTCTAATGAATTACCATGATGCATTGTTACCAAAACAAAATAATTTACACATGTAAGGTGTATATGTGACATAGTTCTTAGTTCTGATGAAGTTAGTAAAAGTACAATAACCATATTTTTCAGGATTTGACTGA